CACACACACACACACACACACACACACACACACACACACACACTCACCTATCTTTAATTCTAAATGAGCAGGGATGAACCAAGGTCATGGTTATTTTTAACCATGTGTTTGTACTGATTCTATCTACACCTCCAAAAAAATCAGCCTATGCCAAAGGCTAGTCATATACCAGATACACGGTCCCCGAAACCCTCTAAATTCAGCGTTTGTGTGCGTGTGTGTGTGTGTGAGAGAGAGAGAGAGAGAGAGAGAGAGAGAGAGAGAGAGAGAGAGAGAGAGAGAGTGAGAGAGAGTGAGAGAGAGAGAGAGAGAGATTTGAGACAAATTATGTTAGACACTGCAACTCGCCCACTGGGAGTGGGACAAATTTTGTGGGTCTAAGCATCAATGAAATCAATTGTATTTTCACAGTAAAGGTGGATAAATATACATAGTTTCAAGCTTTCGGCCTCCCGAAAGGCCGGGCCGGGGCCCGAAAGCTTATTCTCTTTAAGGCCAGGAGTATTTATGTATTTATAAATTACTGTCCATTAGTCAGGATACTTGGTGTTCGCGAAAAGGTGAGCGTATCCTGTCCCACCGGTGGCACCCGTCACAACACATGGAAGGCAAGTCAAGTGTTCACCTGAGAAAACACTGGAACCTTTGGTACAAGTTAAATGAGGGTTTTACATCGTATTTCTATCATACTGCCTCGATAGAAAATCCCCATATAAACACGAACTTTTGTACAGGTTACGTTTCCACCATACTTGACCACACATGTAGGAACTTTCCACTTCCAGCTGTTAAGCACCCACGGGTTTTTCCTTCAGTGCTATTCAGTAATGATCCACGTGTTCATCATGAATAGTTTTGGTAACGTCTGAGAATATTCAGTATTCAGGACACGGCTGGACGAATGGTATTAGGCGCTCCTAATATATATAGTATTTTCTCCCCTTGGTCATGGCAGGATCCGTTGATCGTGGAATCGAATCCGTGATTCGCTCCGACAATGATCTTTGGACTATTTTCAACATGTGTTTGCGGGTTTCTTGAAATCGGATAATCGTTATTACCTGCGTCACCTGTGGCGTTTTGTTCCCCCTAGTCGTGATGTACCAAAATTACCACCAAAGCGACAGAACCGTCACCCGCTTCTGCGCATACTCCAGACTGACAATCCTCATAACGCCCTCCAGTGTGGAAGAAACGCTTTCTCATAGTACCTACTGATCAAATGATCATCGTACGCCTCTCTATGACTAAATGATCAAGTGTTTTCGAGTGCACCATGTGGAACCTACGTACCTTTAATGCTGAAACAGACAACCATCTATCATGCCCTCTTTATCCACAAAGGGTCATTAGCATATTGGCTGGCAAGGTAATTTGTAAAAGAATCACCAAGTTGAATGTATTCCGTTTGTTCCTATCACGAATGTGGAGCTAATACCATTAACGCTGGATCTCATCGCGGGTAGCCTTCTCTCGGAGGACAATAATTTGCCTTCTCCGTCGGAGGTAAATTATTGCAATGACGCGGTAATATGCGTAACATAGGGATAACAGGTGTAGAAGGGTGTGAAATTGCAAATGTTCTGTAGCTCACCCTTAGTTTGATTAGTCAACAAAATTGTAAATTGTATTGGGGTTGGGTGGGTGTGGGGGTGATTGGGTTGGGTGTGGGTTGGGTGGATGGATGGTGTGGTGGGGTTGGTGATGTTACGGAGGTCATGCTGGAACAAATGAAAGGCATTTAGAGCATGCACATAAGGAAGAGAATATATGGATGTCAACTTCTTTTTTATGAGGAACACATCGTTTCGGAGTATATGCTTACTCCTTCATCGGGTGAATGAATGCCATGAGGCAGAGAGCATATATATGTACATGTAAGGACAACAAACTTAATAAGATAACAAAAGGTTGAAAATAACAAAGGGTAGAAACAAACAAGGAAAGCCAACAGATGATTTGCGCTGATAGGTGATAAGCAATAGACAATGGAAGCCAACACTTTACAGTAATTAGCGCTGATAGTATGGAAGCCAGTACTTAAGTTATCATAGTGAGTGAGTGAGTGAGTTGGGTGTAACGCCGCTTTGAACAGTATTCCAGTTATATCACGGCGCGTGTCAGCTTAATGTGGGAGGAAAGCCCGAAGTAATGCAGGTCTCAGACGTTTACCACTTCGGTGAAACCCACGAGCACGGGTATGGTGCTGACAAACCTAGAAACATAATCGGGGCGAACCGGGATATGCCCAAATGTACGCCGAAGGGCAAATATACCCACTAGGGTAAATATACCCCGGGTGTTAATGAATGCATGTAATCGGGGCTTTGGGAGTATCAGTTCGCTGTGGAGAGTGGCGTCCCTTGGACACGTCAGAAACCTATGTTTGTGGGTTCGAATCCTGGTTCGCCCCGATTATATATGTAGGTTTGTCAATATTATACCCATGCTCGTGTTTTTCATCGAAGTTGTAAATGTCTCGCATCACTTCGGGCTTCGGGCTTTCCTCCAACATTAATCTGTCGTGATATAACAGAAATACTGTTCAAAGCGGCGTTAAGTCCAGCTCACTCACTCACTCTTTGCTGGTGTTAATGTGTCTGCGCCTTGTTCTGGGAGGTAACCTACCCCATGGGCTGACCTTCATAAAGAGGGCTCCATTATTAATAAAACTGAGAAATCAAAATAACCAAGACCAATGATGAATTGTGTATCCGACTCGCGCGTGTCCCTCGACGCTTTCAAAGGTTAATTGGGCGGTGGGTGAAGTCACGAGGCGTCACGCAAAGGACCCAGGTTCGTTACCCCATATGGGCACAATGTTTTAAACCCATTCTTAGAGATCCCCGCCGTGACATGACTGGAATAACGTTAAAGGTATATAACCACACTCAATCTCTTCAAAAGTTAATTGACACCCGAATGTCCTACGTCATTTAAGAACATCAGGCCTCCTCCAAAGCCGCGAAGAACTCTGGGAGGAATGGAATCCTGGTCCCACTTGCACAAAGGTGAGGTGAGGTGAAATGGGGTTTAACGTCGCGTCAAAGATTAGTGCACTTATATAGCGACGTGCATGTACGTGTGTGTGTTTGTGTGGCTGCTTGTACTAGTCCGGACTGATGCCGATTTATAGTGCTGGCTCACTGAGATACCATGCCACAGTTTGAACATGAATACCCCACTCAGACACAGTATACTGAGACTAGACTAGACTCCGAGCCGACCAGTCCTTGTTTTAGCCCCTTAATGCCGAGCGCCAGACAGGGTAACAACAAGTACCATCTAGTAACGTCTTTTGGTATGACGCGGTCGGGGATCGAACCCCGGACCTCCCGCTCTCGCTCCACGGAGGCGGTCCACTTGCACAAAGCAATCTCAGAGGTATGACTGATGTAACTCATGTGAACAAAGGCTTAAAACTGTAGCATAGACCCAGGTAAATGCATGTCAACTCTGGAGCAGCCAAAGCATTCGTTCTTGTATTTAAATAAGTACAATATGTAAAGGCTGTAATTGGTGTCGTCGTTATATTACTGTAATATTGGCAAAAGCGGCGTAAAATCCGAATCCCTTACTCACTCGATACCCCGTTCTATTAAAGACCACCTCCGTGGTGCAGTAATAGAGCGTCAGCCCAGACAGCGAAAGGTCCGGGGTTCGATCCCAGGTCGCCTCATACCAAAAGACGTCAAAAGATAGGACTTGTTGATACCCTGCCTGGCGCTCGGCATTAATAGGGGCGAAAACAAGGACTGGTCTACACGAGTATATTGTGTCTGAGTTGGGTATCGATGTTAAACAGCGGCATGGTATTTCAGTTGGCTAGCTCTACCAAACTGGCATTAGTTCGGACTAGTGTAAGCAGCCACACACACACATGTCTATATAGTATAATACGTCGTTGTTTGAAACCACATTAAACCTCATGGTTTTATAAAACAATCTTAGCAATACGTACATAATAAGTTCATGTTCAAGAAAGAGAATTACGTAGTCTTGTGGAACGGGCCCAAAACAGCTTTGATGTTTACCAGCGAGACCCTAGTTTACAAACAAATGTGAAACTGCAAACTAAGGTGACGCCCGATCACCCTTTCAACCCTACCACTTGGTCTAACAACAGATTTTAATGACCACCACCACACATTAACATTCCGGAGAGCGGAAGATCCGGGGTTCGATCCCCGGCCGCGTCATACCAAAAGACGTTAAAAGGTGGTACTTGTTGTTACCTTGTCTGGCGCTCGGCGTTAAGGGGCTAAAACAAGGACTGGTCGGCTCGGAGTCAGTATACTGTGACTGAGTGGGGTATATATGTTAAACTGCGGCATGGTATCTCAGTGAGCTAGCACTTTGACTCGGAATCAGTCCGGACTAGTACAAGCAGCCACACAAACACACATGTACATGCACGTCGCTAAAAAGGTGCAATAATCTTGGACGCAACGTTAAACCCAATTTCACATCACCTCACCACCCCGTCCCGTAGTGGAGGTATATATCAACTCTCTGGCTCCAAGAAGACCGACAGCCTGATGTTGTCGCCATAATTACTGGACGCGAGTCCGAAGCACAAACAGGTCTAGTGTATGAATGATCACGAAGCATGATAAGTACACAAGAATATGTAGTGTCAGTGTAAATACGTACAGCATGGACAAAGCCGCCGAGGTTTGGTCGGTGCTATTACATTCTCTAACAATCACCAGAACATTCTCTAACAATCACCAGAACAACGTTTCTCTTTATCTCGTCTTCTGTCCGCGAAGTACGAGAAGTGACATCTGTGCCATTAAACAAATCAGGGTATTGAGGGTAGATGAAAACAGAAAATAAGCTCTTTGTATCGACGCACTTATACAGTACATAAAGGAGCGCCCGGTCCACCTCTGCTAATTTCAGGGCCGTCCATTACGCTTTAATTTCCAATGTACTATTTATCCAATGCACGTCTCTCATAACTCGGGGACATTGAGCCCTGGTAGAGAATAAAAGCTCTGTGCTCGAGGAACGCTTCATTGATACAGGACAAACAGAGCTAGTGGGCAATCGTCCAAACTTGACTTTAATATACAACGCCCGACCCTCCTGACTTCACTTCAGCTGGTGAAAAAAATCTGATTACTCAATGCATGTTTGTGTCAGTCCTGCGATCCGACTGCCGTGACTCGATGCGTGCGTGAACATACCTCCTCTCGTGTTGGGCAGCTACACCATTGAACGGGATGGGGAGAAGAGGGGGAGGGAAGGCCGTTCCGAGTCAAGGGAAAAGGCGGGAACAAGCAGACGTCAAAACTAAATGTCGTCTGACGACGCAGAAGGGATGGAAATGGTGAAACTGCGCGTTGTGTGTGTTGATATAAGCATACTCATGGATATCCAAAGGATATTTATCAAGACAGTCTGATATCCCTCTTGAAGTCAAGGGTCCAAGACGAGGTAAGTATATAGTTCTGTATAACACTGCCAACTCAGACGAACATTAGCCATTTCATTGGTGAATATATTTACATTTGAAAGTATATATGTAACACATACGGTATAAACAGCTTGCCTTCGTCTCCGTACGCCTATACCCCTGATCCGTCCCATGCACGTCCGGTTATTATGTTTAAGCTGGTTGCATTATTTAGCAAAGGTAAATTAATCTGTCAGATCAACCGTAACTATCCCTATGACCGCTGATTAACTCTTGAACATGTCATAAACCTCAGCAATAGGTTCAAGGACAATAACAACTGCTCAGTGTTGAGGGCACATCAGAAGAAACGAGATGGACAATTGTTCCGTTTCTTCTTGAGCTATAAAAGAGTCAAGAGAGCCAAATGCAAAGACGATGCCTTACACTAAAGACGAACACATAAGTTGGAACAATATACACGTCCCAATGATTTGTCTTCATATTCTGAGACGATGAATAATGACCGTTGCATGTGTATGTGTTCTTTCAAGAAACGTCTTTCAATCTGCCAACAATTGCAGGTGAGTTACCTAAATCTCAGCACGGGTATCGTCATTTGGACACGTTGACGGATGGGACAGTAAGTATGTGTGGCGTTATGCATTTGGGCAATATTCAGGCAATGCCAGAGCGGGGAACTATAAATTGTCTCAGCACGTGTGGGATCGACCCCGAGTCTACGAGCTACTCCAACATCCTGTAAGCCCTATTGGAAAACTACTATAGCATATGAGGCGAGGTGGAATGGGATTAACATCGCGTCTAAGATTATTGCAAATATAAGAACACGTATCACGTATGTGTGTGTTAAAGGGGTGTGTGGCTTCTTGTACTAGTCCGGACTATTACCGGTTGTATTGTCCTAGCCCATCGAGATACCATGCTCTTCGGACAGACGCTCTATCCACTAGACCACAGAGGCGGTACTATAACATCGGTGCGCCGTGTGTGACGGCCTCAGTGATACCCGAACTTTGGTCATAGTGACCAACTTGTGCTACAAGAGAGTTTGTTTGTTTGTTTGTTTGTTGTTTAACGCCACACTCAGCAATATTCCAGCTATATGACGGCGGTCTGTAAATAATCGAGTCTTGACCAGATAATCCAGTGATAGATATCATGAGCATTGATCCACGCAATTGGGATCGATGACATGCATCAACCAAATCAGCGAGCCTGATCACCCGATCCCGTTAGTCGCCTCTTACGACAAGCTTGATGTATAAGGGGTCATCAATTACTTCAATACCACATTGTTTTATCGATGACGTGGACGAAAGGCACTCGTCAGCATCACTGATGTTAGTACTGTTGTAAATCACAGTCAGCAATATTGCATTACTTTATTGTTTAACGTCACACTCGATATATAACACGGCGGCCTTTAAGTAATCGAATTTCGACAAGACAATCCAGTGATTTATAGTATGAGCAACGATCAACGTCTTGTACGGGTATGATGACATGCAATCGAAGCCACTACGCCTGACAACTAGGGCTGGGACGAGTCCAAATTTACTACCCGGGTACCCACCCCCTATTACCCGACCCTCCCCGGGTACCCACTGTAGGTCTCATGAGATACAAAATCTCCGATTGGGAAACGTATTTACATGTATTAAACGATCTGGTCATGCATACACTGAAGTTGACTCAAGTCATATCTTTATTCAACCATATGAAAAGTCAGAAGGAATGGGTGCATAATCAGAAAGAAATGCAAACATTAGTGACTTGTAGTGTAGAGTTCTAGATAATTTTTGTCATTAAACAATATATCACATGACTAACCACGGGTCCGGGTAGTCCTATGGGTTCCCGGGTCCAACTCAGTACCCACCCGACCCGGATACCCGAGTTACCTCATCCCAGCCCCACTGACAACCCGATCCATTGAGTCGCCTCTAATGTCTATGTAGGCTGCTGGGGACCTATTCCAGCCAGGAATCCCCACTGGAATATTGCTTCTGTATTTTAGTGGTTATTGCAAGGGCAACGATCCACGCCTTGGAGGTGAGGTGAAATGGGGATTAACGTCGCGTCCAAGATTATTGCACTTATGTAGCGACGTGCATGTGTGTGTGTGTGTGTGTGTGTGTGTGTGTGTGTGTGTGTGTGTGTGTGTGTGTGGATGCTTGTACTAGTCCGGACTGATGCCGATTTATACTGCTAGCTCACTGAGATATCATGCCGCAGTTTAACATGAATACCCCACTAGACACAGTATACTGACTCCGAGCCGATCAGCCTTTGTTTTAGCCCCTTAACGCCGAGCGCAAGACAGGGTAACAACAAATACCATTTCTTTACGTCTTTTGGATAAGACCTTCAGCTTTCCGGGCGGACGCTCTGCCACTAGATCACGGAGGCGGTCCGCCATTATAGAATTATCAATATTTGACGTATTAGTCACGTAATAACAGGAGAGTGCAGTGGAGAATTATCCATGGGAATCAATGATAAATGAATCATCCGGCGGGAGCGTTCAGGTGACATAATATCCATGAGCTATGTGTCACGTCGTCAGAGATTGGTCGTGGTGACTAGGCACATCGTGTTATACATGTATATGTGGACACGCTACGCGAGATAATACCACCCTTGGTTTACATCCCGTGTGACGTGGGCGCGAGGTTGTTACCGTTGTACATCTCACCACACTCAGTTGATTAGTGCCTGTGATCATGTGATTTGTACTTTTGTTAAAATTTTGGTGAATTTGATTGGGATTAGGCTGACCACATATGGTTTCTACACATTAAAGAGATTTTGACAATTTTTTCAAATTTAAATTCTGATAGCAATTTAGTTAGATGGAATGTTTTTATCAATCCTCACAGGTCACGTTGTCAGTCACTGGATTGTCTGGTCCAGACTCGATTATTTACAGACCAGTGTTATATATATAGCTGGATTATTGCTGAGTGCAGCGTTTAACAACAAACAAACAACAAGACAATCCTGGTAGAAGATGTACAGCTGTTTAATGAAAATGAAAATGTGAAATTTGGGGTTCGTTATAAATGCAATACTCATCAAAACGGCATCTACTCCTCTTGTTTATAAATTTGTGGTTTTCTTGTAAACAATTATTAAATTGATACATTTGGTCCATATCGCCATTACCTTTACCATATCACTGTTCTCCTTGCCACTGAATAAATATCGGTGTATATGACAAGGGAAGATGTTAACAATTAGGTTCAATGAATCGTCTTGAAATTGGGACAAAACCTCACCTTGGTACAGAATGCAGAAAGACCATTTTGTTTTGTTTTTTAATTAAAAAAACATTTTGTTCTAGAATTTTTTTTAAATATATCAGGTTTTACTGAGTTTGCTGGACATGACGAATGATCTTAAAAGGCTACCTGATCTTATTCAGAATTCAGAAGTCCTTTACAAAAAGGAAACGATTCTTGTTATCAAAGGGAAGACTTGCTTGTGTTATCGGGTGGACGGTCGGAACATTTGTATCTATATCACAGCACTCGGGGAGTCAAACCCCCCCCCCCCCCCCCCCCCCCCCCCTCCTCTGGCGTTGTCGTGCACGGAGTACGTATGCACTTTACACTCAAAGACATGTCTGGTGTTAAGTACTTCCTCAATCAAGTGACTCCTGTGACAATAGGATGTATTTATACTCCTCGTCACGAGACCAGGCACGGTCAACGGGGGCAGTCATCGGAAGTTCACACTGTGTGGGAGTCATTTTGAGTATTGTAAATATTGTGTATGACTTTGGAGTGTGTGCTATTTATTTGAGGCTTGATAATTGTGCTTGTAAACATTGGTATGTGATACGTGTACGATCACAACGAATTTGAGAAGAAACAACTGTTTCCATACAGTGAAACCTCGTTTATCCGGAGTATACAATTCGTCCTGAATAAAAAAAATGGGTATGGAATGACCTATGCTATTCGTCACCACTCGTCCCTTTCCGTAACCGGCTTTTGTCTTGTCCCGGAATAATACGAGCGGTCACGAATGGACCTTGGTATATTTGATCAAGCGCGAAAACATCATTATCAGTGTGCACTTAATTGTCTTTGCTCCCTGGAGAGTATACAACCCAAGCTGCCAGTAAGGTTCCTGTCGGGTACCCATTCACTGCTGAGTGAAAAGATGCACATTTCGAACAAAGTCACTTGCCTAAGGAGACACACCATGTCACACCATACGAGTACAAGAAACATATATGATCGTGGGTTCGAATCCCAAATTCGTCCTGATGATGTTCCTAGGTTTGTCAGCACCCATGGCGGTAGACATGCATCACTTCGGGCTTTTCTCCCACATTAAGCTGACATGCCGTGATGTAACTGTGGGTGTAGTTGAAATAGACAATTATACGAGTACCTGAATCAAATAGACAGGCATTTTGCAGTTATTATAAAATTATATGAATATCACAGTTATTCAATTCTCCGGCGTGTGGAGGTTCGTGAAAAAGAGAAAACTGCAGCTGTAAAGTGTCTGAAGTATATACCTTCGGGAGTGTATCTTAGAAACATAGATGGTGTGTTCGTTCGAACTGTTCTTGCTGTGCAGAGGGGGCACGGGTGACCCAGTCGTCTAAGGTGCCGCGATTCGCTGTGCAGAGTTGCGTCACTTGGGCACGCCAGAAACCTATGATTGTGGGTTCGAATCCCAGTTCGCCCCAATTATGTTTCTAGTTTTGTCAGCACCATACCCGTGCTCGTGGGTTTCACCGAAGAGGTAAACGTCAGAGACCTCCATCACTTCGGGCTTTCCTCCCACATTAAGCTGACACGCCGTGATATAACTGGAATACTGTTAAAAGCGGCGTTGAACCCAAATCACTCACTCACTCTTGCTGTGCAGATTTGCGTCCCTTGGGCACGCCAGAAAACTATGTTCGTGAGTTCGAATCCCGCTTCGCCCCGAATTGTTTCTTGTTTTACTCATGTGTTTCAAGCGCTAAACGTTTGAGACCCGTATCACCCTGGCTTCCCTCCCACATTAAGCTGACACGCCGTGACATGACTGAAATACCTTTCAAAAGCGGCGTTAATCCCAACTCACTCTATCACTCCTCTAAGCATATTTGATCTGGTTATGCCATCAGGAGGGACAGAACATCTTTTCATACTTCACCTGTTTCTTCATGAATAGTCTCCCCGGGGAGATTACGGGTTAGGTGTGTCTCCAGCAACATATGCTGGTCGTGTGAGGCTACGTAGTGTATTGGGTGGTCCGGTTCGATGACTTGGTGGATTGTGTCATATTATCACGACGGTATCGATAGTTGCTGATAAGATCAGTCACCGGATTGGTTCATTATCGATTAATTACATGGCGCCGTCATATAGCTGGAATAGTGTTGAGTGTGGCGATAAACTACAAACACATCACCCTTACATTACATTTACATAACGAGTGTCAGTAACAATAGTGACATATTGTTTCCATAAAGGAATCAAACCCAGTCCTCACCAGCGAACACACCAACCATGGGACTACCCTACCATGCCTGCCTTTTCACACTTCAGACTTCCATTACTCAGATGACCACATCTTCCCGAGGCAAGAGCGTTAAGTGACTATAAAAGTCCAGTTGTCACCCTTGTCGAGCTTGGCTGTAATTTCCAGGCTCGATCGCAGTGCCACCAGTGCCTATTACGAGTTATGTCCTTCTATGCCCCTCTATTGACCAATAAGATTCCATCGTTCATAATGCCTGCATTTACTTCAAACAAAATGGCGGCGCTCAAGACGATCTGATCGAGCTTCAAGATATATATTGTAATAAAACGGGTCTTACCGTGCGAAGTGCATCAACAAACTTGATCACCTTGATTAAAAACATACAAAATTGCAAAATATCTGTCGACGCCCATTTGACGGTACACGTGAGTTTGCAAACCCTGCAGTCGACGGGCATCTGCACGTTGAAGTCCATGTTGTAACCGTACCGAATGTCTAGTTCGTTACGCGATTTTGATTGGCCTATGCATAGACTCGATCGTCAGTCCAATCAAAATGTAACTCCGGAATGCCAGCCTTGTTCGGCAAGGGTGGAAACTGGACTTCCATAGCCAGTTAACTCCCTTGCTTCGGGAAGATGGATGATCAAGGCAATGTACATCTTATTGATCAGAGTGCTTTTGGATCCCCAGTATATTGCAATAGAGATGCACGGAATGTACAGTCTGTTTATCAATAAATAATGTTTTTCACCGCACAGAAAAAGCAAACAGGCGATCAAGTTCATACAAAAGGGATTGTAATTCCGACTACTTTCAACCTTTGCCTGTGAGTAATTCCTCGGACTCGTTTGTTGTTGTCGAGTAGCATTTATTATTGAAATGAAACGAGAATGCAATACCACCATTCTTTCTTAGGGGAATCTGAAATCTCACTGAATTCTTTATTAAAATGCAAATATATAGTGTAGAGGGACAGCGCTTTGTTGTGTTGTTGTCGGACTCAGCAGTACTTCAACAGGAAAGTTAAAGGGCAAGTTCACACGGAAATGAACCAATTTTTCTTGTACTTTTTCCACATTTAAAGTGTTAACATAGAAGTGTCATAGACAAAAATATAAAAACATCATATTTAATTAACATATTTTTTGCATTAAAACGATTTATATTTTTTACATTTACCAAGTGTTCTATTTCCATAACAAAAACACCATGGCTTATGCCCCTTGCAATATGACGTCATTGGTGCCAATTGATAAACATTATGACGTCATCATGCTTTGTTAGAGCCGCTTCACGTGGTGTAGGTACAGTTTTGTGATTCTAGCGTCTCAGATGCCAGCCAGAATTGTGTTATGCTGAGTCACCACTGCGCCGGAGTGTGTCGTAGGCCATGTTGTTTTACCGCAAACTGGTCCTTGATATCTTTTGCGTTGAGAATAGACAGGGACCCAGTTGAATTGGCACCAATTACGTCATAATCTAAGGGGGATAACTCAGGCCTATTTCGCTCGTAAAACGAAGGCCTCATAACGACATATCATTTTAACACTATTGTGAGCTTCCTACTTTCACTGTGAAAAAAATGAGCGTATATTTTCAAACACAGATACTAACTAATTCTAAAATTGCGTTTTGTTTTAGAAAAAGAAAGAAAGTGATTTTTGCGTGTACACTTCCTTTAAGTATACTGTGTCTGAGTGGGGTATCCACGTTAAACTGCGGCATGGTATCACAGCCGGCTAGCTCAGTAAAACCGGCATTAGTCCGGAATAGTACAAGCAGCCACTTTAACGCGACGTTAAACCCCATTTCACTACCACATCAACTGTTGCTTCTTACATGGTACAAGTCAAAATAGTGTCAAATTTATGTCAACGCTGAAACGTTTTGAAAGCTTTACGGAGGCATTGAATGTTGCAACGCTGAACAAACAACTTTGCAGTGATACCAGCAGTGGAGTTATTACTGTTGCGGTCCTGGTGACACTATCTGTCTTGATATTTGTTGTAGTGATGGCTGTTAGTATGGCTGTCGTAGTTGTAGTAGTAATGGTAGTAGTAGTAGTAGTAGTCGCCGTCGTCGTAGTAGTAGTAGTGGTAGTCGTCGTCGTCGTCGTCGTCGTCGTCGTAGTAGTAGTAGTAGTAGTAGTAGTAGAAGTAGTAGTAGTAGCACTAGCAGTAGTAGTAGTTGCGGTAGTAGCATCAGTAGTAGTAGTAGCAGACATAGCGATAGCAGTATTATCATTAGTAACAGTATAGTATAGTAGTAGCTCTACGAACAGTAGAAGTAGTAGTTATTGTTTAAAAACAGTGGTAGTCGTAGTGGTAGTGGTAGTGGCAGTCGTGATAAATAACAGTTTAGTAGTTTTAGTGATGGAGGTAGTCATGAACTATTCGATGGTATCATCAGTTAAGGGCTTAACGCTATCCCTACATTATATATCCGATATGTGCAGAATACAACCATCGTCATCCTAACCACGCAGGTGAGTGAGTCGCTGTACCTGAGCCATGCATGCATACCGTCAACTGGGACTCGTCATTACTTAGTCAAGCCGTTGGCTGATGGGGAAACAAGCACTGTAGGTCCAATATGGGTCCAGTCAGGCAATTCCCATATCTGTTTCTCCTCCAGTGAATGTACACTCCGACAATTAAATATACCCATGGCTGGCCAACTCTCATTCTCTCGCATCTGTTTTGTGATCAGATTGCGACGTTTGAAGACCACGTTCCATCCTCAGCAGCACCTTTCTACCATCTCCACATCATTTATGCACGACCGTGTCAAACATCAGCCTGACTTGTAACTGGTAGAGTGTACTCAGTCAGTGTGTTCATTAGCAGCGAGGACAGCGTGAACGACTTGGTGTTGCTTTGGGCTTGTGACTGCTGACCCGTTAAACAGCGTAGTGCAACCCTAGGTGTTGATGGTGGTCTGATACGATGTACGGAGTGCATTGTCACTTATTTGTTACAGACGATTATGTATGCAGGCCTGTTGTTAAAGATCTCTCCGTGAATTTACGGTTTAGTCAATTTTGGACATTTTCTTTATTAGGAATCACCAATTTCGCAAAAGGAGTACTATGGAGGTTATATTTATTTGAAAACAATAACATTGTTCGATTTCAAACGATTAACCGCATATTTGTCCAAATCGCTACAAATTAAAAATGCCCGTTTCTAATTGTCGTCTGTTCTCTTCCAGTTGTTCCAGCTACTGCTGCTATGTCTGAACGCCCGCCGTCCTTTAGTAGAGCATGCCGGGAGAGTTCAAAAGGCAGTTATCACGTCGCGTGCAGGAGTTCGAACTGTACAAGGATGACAAGGACGTGTTCAAGGACGTTGAGTACGCGAGACGACGTGCCGATCGTCGCCGAGAATTGAAGAGGCTTGAGAGCGACAAACGCTTGAAGTGTTGGAAGAAGGTGTACGTGCCTTCATTGCTCGCCATCTTCGCGAGCTCCGCTGCACTGCTCTGCAGCTCAATCTCAAGTCTGGGACAGAATTCATTCTTCTTTGCATACAAAGAAATATTTCATATCGTGGGACCCATTGTGCTTATTGCCGGCATCATAGGGCTAATGGTGGCGGCTGCTTGTTCTTATCGGGAGGAGGAAAGACTCAGAATCGAACTCGGACTTCCGAGTCAGTTTCCTCAAGGGAGATCAACCTCGACTGTAGGTTCAATCAAAAGTGACACACAGTCTATGTCAACGTCTGAAGTCAACGAACTACTTTCCAGGAGAAAGAAACGACGCTTCTGGAAAAAGGCTTCATCAGATTCTTTGGAAGCGTCCAATTTTTTAGAGTCCAGCTGTTCCTCGGCCGCGACGGACATGACGTGGATGCAACACTCAGCGTCGCGCCCTATAACACTGGAGGTTGCCGAGGCGCACGTGTTTGAGGAGTGTGAAGAGGAGGGAGACTTTGAACGCGTTGTGGACACGCATATTACAGCTAGGCAATACACCATGATGCACCCACAGACTTCAAAAACCATAAGTGACTCGAACGAGTGTTTTGTGTCAGAAAATTCATCTGGGTATTCCACCGTTGCGGGCAGTGAGCCTGACAACGCGGGTATGGACGCAAATAGGTCCGTCCTTGTTGAAGTGACGGGGGATCCTGGAGATGCTGTGATGACGGAGTCGAACAGTGAGTTGAACTTCGAAGAGCAGAGATGAACTCTGGATATTACCGAGTGACTGGTCAACGGAAAGGATCAATGTTCAAGATAATATACATTTCTTGGATATTCACAATGATGATTCTAGTGTAAACTGTCGAACTTTCAAAACTTAGGTTCTGTTTTGCAACAATCTCATTAAAATTAAATCTTACTTCTTGCTACCGCTAAACAACGCTTTGTTAGCGGTAGCGAGAACAAAGATCTAAGTTCGTAGTTCTTGCTACCGCTAAACAATGCTTTATTAGCGGTAGCGAGAACAAAGATCTGATTTTAATGAGATTGGTTTTGCACACATTCATCACTGAAAACAAAACCGCTTTGCTAAAATATGATCGTATCGAAACGGTTGATTCGCTGGAGATATGTTTTGGTTTTGTGTTCGTTTCCTGGAAGTGTTTGGACATTTATCACAACACGTGTCATCCCAAAATAATTATAAATACCAATCCTGAACTCAAATCACTAGCCCATCGAATCCCAAGGAGACGGAGATAAGTCAGTGGACTTTTCTATACAAGACGGTGTGTCCGATGTGGCAATTTCCTTAATGAATTCTGAATTTCATCTGTATGAGCATCATTTCAAAACAGTATTTACCTCGTGCATTTCATGACATCATGTCGTGTAAAAGGATAAGTGATCCGAACGTATTAAGAATCTTTGGTAGGGTTGGAACCGGAAGGGATGTTTCAGGGTCGTATCGTATGCATTTTTACTGACAGCTGTTTTTTGTCTTACACTTGCCTCACTTACTTCCTGGCGTTTAAACCACACTGTTTCTACCTCAGCGAGTGGGTCAAATGTCAAGACTCGTCGCATTTATGTTCAGTGTTCTTGGTCAGTAACGTGGCCACCACGATCGACATCGATCAAAGGACGACCACAGCATTTTGAGCACGTTTTACTTAACACTTATTAAATATTCCATATACACGGACAATCGACGGTGTCGATTTCACGGGGATTAAACCATATGGTTACCTCAATTTATGATTGCAAAGGGAAAAAAATAAAAATCACTTTTTATATTTTGATCATTTGTTTGTAACCGACTCTTTGTTCTAGAATTTAAATTTTAGAACTGATCGATAAATCATTTTGTCTGAGAATCAGATTAAGTATGGGCCTATGCACTGGATATGAATTGCAGTGCTTAAAATGTGGCGGGTGGACTATGGCTCTCAACGTTGTGGCCCTTAGACGTGCCAGGATCCGGTGATCCTTTGGTTCGAATCTTAGATTCGCCCAGATCTATCAGCACCATGCGTTATGAAAACCTGCATCACATTGTGTTTTCCTCCATCAAAAGCTAACACGCCGGGAAATATTTGACACAATGTTAAAGGGACGTTAAATCCAGTCATCCCCGACAGTCCTGGGTATTATACCCCGTGGGGATGTCGGATTAGAATTACTTCCCAGCAACCTATGCTGGCTTTAAGGAGCGACTTAACGTACCGGGGGGTCAGGCTCGGATACTTGGATCACAATATCGATCACTGGATTGTCTGATCCAGTATCGATTATTTACAGGCTGCAGTCATAAAGCTGGAATATTGCGGGGCGTTTAACAACAAACAAACAAACAAACAAACAGTGTATGGTATCTCCATCCTATTATGATATATACGCAATTGGGATACGACGACATGCATGAACCAAGTCAGCGAGCCTGACCACCCATCCCGTTAGTCACCTCTTACGACAACTATGGGTTGCTGAAGAACAATGCTGACCCGGACTGCATTTTTAGCGACTCCTATTTCGAATCGGACACAAAATGAAGCTATGGGTCGAATGGGTACAGGGTTTATATCATGCGCATATGTATGTGTGGGAGTGCGTGCGTGCGTGCGTGCGTGCGTGCGTGCGTGCGTGCGTGCGTGCGTGCGTGCGTGCGTGCGTGCGTGTAAACTGCCGGGCAAAAGAAAGTATACACACATTTCGTGGTTTAAGAGGAAACAAACAAGAAATGGTCATTCGACGGTGAAGTATTTGATACGGGTATCATAGTTGTGTTATGGGCCTTTTGTTTGGACCTGGTTTCAGTCTAGTAATGTTTTGGTAACGTTTGTCTTTTTTTGTCAAAACCAAGTGTACACTTTCTTTTTCCCGGGAGTATATTTGTAAATGATAGATATTTGGGCCGCTTAACGAGAGCTGTGAAACTACCATAATCAGTTCCAGACGCATAGCATCAGCGAGCACTGAATCGATTTTCAGCCGTCAGAAGTAAATGTAATATTTCACTTTACATTAAATTCGAAGGCAATTTTCCAGCAAACCTCTCTAGTCTCCCAGTTTCCAGTCAGTACATCTCACCAGTCAACCAGTTTCCAGTAAACCTCCCTAGTCTCCAAGTTTCCACTAAACCTCCCCAGTCCCCAGTCCCTACTACACCTCCCAGTCCCCCAGTTTCCACTAAACCACCCCAGTCTCCAAGTTTCAAGTATAAATTTTAGCTCCCCAGTCCCCCAGTTTCCAGTAAATCCCCCAGTCCCCCAGTTTCCAGTAAATTTCCCTAGTCCCCCAGTTTCCTGTAAACTTCCCTAGTCTCCCAGTTTCCTGTAAACCTCCCCAGCCCCCCAGTTTCCAGTAAACCTCCCCATTCCCCCAGTTTCCAGTAAACCTCCCCAGTCCCCCAGTTTCCAGTAAACCTCCCCAGCCCCCCAGTTTCCAGTAAACCTCCCCAGTCTCGCAGTTTCCAGTAAACCTCCCCAGCCCTCCAGTTTCCTGTAAACTTCCCCAGTCTCGCAGTTTCCAGTAAACCTCCCCAGCCCCCCAGTTTCCAGTAAACCTCCCCAGTCTCGCAATTTCCAGTAAACCTCCCCAGTCCCCCAGTTTCCTGTAAACTTCCCCAGTCTCGCAGTTTCCAGTAAACCTCCCCAGCCCTCCAGTTTCCTGTAAACCTCCCCCGTCCCCCAGTTTCCTGTAAACTTCCCCAGTCTCCCAGTTTCCAGTAAACCTCCCCAGTCCCCCAATTTCCTGTAAACCTCTCCAGTCCCCAAGTTTTCAGTAAACATCCCCCGTCCCACAGTTTCCAGTAAACCTCCCCAGAGCCCAGTTTCCTGTAAACCTCCCCAACCCCCAATTTCCAGTAAACCTCCCCAGTCCCCCAGTTTCCAGTAAACCTCCCCAGCACCCCAGTTTCCAGTAAACCTCCCCAGCACCCCAGTTTCCTGTAAACCTCACCAGTCTTCTCCCGATTATGTGACATGGCGATTACGTGTGCCAATTGTAATTACCGAAAAGGAAAAAAAGAAAGTGGTGTAGTTTACAATACTGTCCTCCAGATACCCCGCTTGTACTCCGACTAGTCTGTGGCACTCAACGTTCGGTTGGGACACTGATATGTGTCCTTTTGTTGCAGTTGTTAGAGGATCACATCTTCTGAACAGTGACACTTGCTATTTCAACATGTTTTCTCAGTTCCAAGACGATATGAAAGTTTTTTCGTATGTCAGAATGTTTTACATTTCATTTCAAACCTTTTAACAGGTCCTGCTAGTTAATTGTTTCAGTCAGAGTGATACAAACACTCCCTCCCGCATGCCTTAATACAAACATCCATCTTCAGGAGACTCGAAATATTTCTTGAGCCCTCCAAGCGTGCTTGATTTTAGAAACACTCCTCAAGATTCAAAAACATGGTGAGGATGGTGTACAAAAATCAACATGAGCCTTGAAACCCAATTCTATTAGCGGAAAAGGAACTTGTTTTGATATGTGTTGAGGCTCTATATAAAACGTACATATCTTTTTGCATGATCCGCGCCATTAACACAAAGTATAAATACGACGTACTACTTTGAAGCTGTTATAGATGTTGTATGTGACTCATACGAACATATTCTTTGATTCAATCTTTAACTACATAACATTAAGTAGATAAGGTGAGTAAATATTTCACAAGTCATGTGATTTTAGTCTTTCACGTTGCCAGCCAAGGACATCCTAACCAAAACGAAGAGTGTTCTCATCCTTTATAGGAATCTACGAGGGTGGCTGAAACGTTCTGAGCCTAACTCCAAAGGATGTATAGTACACCCGTAACATCCTTTAAGTACAATACTCCCCATGCTTACAATCTGTATTGAACCAAATACATATTAACCAGATAGCACATTTCTGCAGGCATCAAAGTGACTAGGTATTCTCTGTTGATGAAAATGGACGAAGTGTGACACGGCGGTCATCATGCATCTCCAACTGAAAAGGACAAGCATCCACATGGACCTGGTGTCACCTTTAGGCCTTCCTTTGCCATTGTTAAGAGGCGGGCTGCGGCGTTGTAGAAGGGAAGAGAGAGCCCCGTAGATGATCTACGATCAGGACGACCTTCAACTGCCACCACCAAAGAAAATGTTTATAAAATACATGATACGTGTATGATTATGATCGAGGACGTAATACAGTAGGAGAGTCGAACCAGGCAGGAAAAAGGTTTCTGCAAGTTGTTTTCCAAGGCTTCTGAGTCCTGATCAGGAAGACTGCAGGTTCATCATCTCTCGTGAGAGCAGTTTGTAGCCATGAATGTGTCTTGCGATCACCACTATCAGCGAGAGACTAAACAACAGTCACCGTAATGGAAACATCTAATGTCTACTCAGAAGAAAAAGGCAAAGTCTGTTCCATCAGCTGATAAGGTGATGACTTCGGTTTTATAGGATTCCAAAGAAATCCTACTGGTGGACTACATCCCGAAAGGTCAGACCATTTAAGACCAATATAATGTTAATCTTCTTTGGCAACTGCGTGTGGATGTCACTAAAGATGTGTTGTTCCATTGGTTTGTTGCTATGTCTGCAACGCATGACTGTCGCTTTGAACTCATTCAACATACTCAGTATTCACAATATTTGGCTATGTCAGAGTTCTTCCCAAACTTGAAGGAAGAACTGTCTGGCAAGCATTATACAAATGACGAAGACGTTATGCCTGCTGTGGAGGTCTTTTGACTCCACTAGGAGGGAGCTTTCTGCACCAATGGGATCCAGTAACTCCAGTATCGTGGTCAGAAGTGTTTGGACCTCGGAGGGGATCGTGTTGAAAAATAAGTATCTCCATCAACGCAGTCCATCATAAATATAGATAAACTTAGAACTTTTCAGCCACCCCACGTATCTATACTGACTGAAATAATAGTTTTGCCTAAAATCTGCCGGACAGATGTGGGAATTCCTGCTTATGATAGGCCCTTAGTACCCTCAAACGTGTCGTTAGAGTATACATAGGGAGGTCCAACTGTGCGACTTAGGTACCCTGATGGCAGGCATCGTTCACTCTGCGTGAAGGAGAGAGGTTCCACATACAGTAAAATATTAAAATCAGATGGCGAGCGGTTGCTCGTGCTTTCAATAATTGGTTGTCTGGTACAGACTCGATTATCTACAGGACAACGTGATATTGATTGTTGACTGCAGTCTTAAACAACATTCCCAAATGAACTACAAAAGCGGCAGACGAACATTTTGTATGGGTTTGTATTTGCAACCTGCTAGATAAACATCTAATCAAGAAAAAGGCTAACTTGTCTAAAACATCCAAATGTAGCCCTGAACAATACGTAGCTTTAGGAGGCAGTCTAGACTTTTTAAAGAAATTTCTCTGGGAGGCAGACCAGTAACGTGTCATCGATGTTAGTTGTGATAGTTTTGGGATTCAGTGACTTTGCCCCGATTACTCCAAACAAGCTAAAGTTTTCATTTTATATGGAGTCATTGCAGATTACAAATTCAACTTCCCTTCAAATCAGAAGCACACTACACCTGTCGTCGGCGTTCAACTTTTTTCGAACACTCCACCTCGCTTCACTCACATCAGTCCCAAATCGTAGTATGCGAACCCGCTTTAATGACCATGGTCTTTCCGATAGTGCCTTGAAAGCTATGATTAACCGACCGAGAGATTCGTGATTTCAGAAGAGCAAGACTTGTAAACATAACAAGACCGAGTGAAGTTGAGGGGGGCTGGGAGCTCGGTCAGGCCAACAGACGACCATGGCTATGATTTATTGATGGCCTGCA